GACAAGCAAGCACTGATAGCGCTCTTTGTCAAGCTCAGCTGTCCCCCAAAACCTATTCAGCTACCTGGACTGCCTGTGAATGTAATCCCTATCACTCCAAATGAGCGAAAGATAGTCTGTGCTATGCCAAACGGGAAAACACTTGGGATCTATCGCTCTCAGGTCTCTATTCTAGCCAACTTTGCAATGACAGACTACGGCTCACAAGGCCGGACTAGGAAATACAATGTGATAGATATTCAAGAGTGTGGCAGCCACCAGTCAGTATACACCTGTCTGTCCAGGGGTTCTACACTTCAAGGCACTCTGATTGTACGACCTTTTGATCCTAGCAAAATAACTGGAACCATCAGTGGTCGGCTGAGACAAGAGTTTAGAGAGCTGGAACTGCTGGATAATATTACCAAACTCAGATGGGAAGACAAACTCTCACCAGAGGTCACTGGCATCACTAGAAATGAGCTCATCTACTCATTCAGAAAGTGGAAGGGAGAAGACTATGTGCCAAAAACAGTGCACAAGTCTCTGAAGTGGGGTAAATATAGCAGGTTTGATATGGAAGATGTCACAGAGGATGCAGGCTGGCAGATTGTTTCTGGAAAAAATGATCTGATAAGAGGTGTTGCGTTCTGTATATATGTATAAGTAGGCTTACTAGTGAACAATAGCACTCTAGATGGAGTACTCTTGTGCACTAGTAAGCTGATTTATACGTAGCAGATACAATGTGAATACTCCTTTTCAGAATTGTTTTAATTAAGCTTTAAATCATTAAACCTCATTAATCGTTTCTGCCAGTAATGGCCCACTCCTACCAAGTCAATGTTCTGCCCCCCACTTGTTTCCCTGATCCAATTACACACAATACTCCGATATTACCTTGTGAATCTGATCTGAACTTGCCTTGAATACAGCTTTAAGATGCAAAAACAACCATGTCAAACAGTCCACAACCAGTGAAGATGTTGCATTGGAGCCTAGAATGCACCACTAGGTACCTGGGGGAGTGTTACATCTATAGTGACCACAGGTGGCGAGGGAGCAACTGAGGCTGGTTGAGGAGATAGTGCACCTAGAAGCAACTCTGGCTAACAAGCTCGTCATTCTGCAAGGGTGCAGTTTGACCAGTGGTGATCATTGCTTCCTGGTAGTCCATCACACGAAGAACAAAAGGACGCAGTCGAGCATTATCAGTCTTGCTGAGCAGCTCAAGGTGGATGCCTTTGCCATATAACGATGTGGCGCCAAACTGGAACTCCCCGTTGTTCTCCGTGTGTACTCTGATCACCATGCCAACAGCATAACCAATAGCTATGTTGTTGCCAAGAGCCAGGTTCTTGAAACACAGATAGTACATGTTAGCCTTGAACTTGGTAGGAGTGGGCCATTACTGGCAGAAAATGATTAATGAGATATGGGATATAATGAGAAGATATGAGAGACCTTAATAAGCTACATTAAACACCACCACTATCATCATAGGCAAACAAAAACATAATATATAGCAGAAGTGTAAACATTGTGAAAGCTAGTACTAAAGTGCTTACTATGCAGATAAAATCCAATATAGTACAACACACTGTGTTATAGCTGCCCTTCTGGATATAGTCAAGATTTTAAGTGCTGTGTTTGATTTTACAGAGACAGAGTATGCACTATCATTCTACATTGCAAGAACACTTGAAGGGGGGACTAGGGTCAACAAAGGGGTTGCAGTCATGTAGGCCTTCTACATAGCTTTTTGATGCATATACAATCACCCCAAACAGATAAGAACTGAGGTCACATGAGCTCTCTAAAGTTAGTAGGCACCAGTGATTATATCTACACTGTCCCTTATCTAATGTGTTTAAAGCCAAGCTGTAAGCACATTAGTAACATACTCTATAGTAGCTGCTTTCATGAATATAATCAGGGTTTTAGGCAATTGATTGGATTTTACAAAGCTTGAATACCCATGGTTACAACCAGGCCTGCATAGCAACTGGCAGGGATTGAACCCAAGGCTCCTGGGTCCCCCACCTAGGTGCTGTACCAGCTAAGCTGAGCTGAGTTTGAAAAAAGCGTTCAAAGCAGGCACCTAGCTGCACTTTCAGCCACTGTGGCAGCTGTGGCAGGGGCAGAAGGGGGCAAATAGTGGCAAACAGTGTCCATATATGGTGGAGAGGCATGGGAGAAGCAGCTGACAAAGATTGGGCAGCACAGCCCCACCAAAAGAGGATGGATTGCAGCCAGGGCTTGTGGATGACAATTTTAGGTGGCTGGGTGTGGCTTACAGTAGCTAGCAGTGGTGGCTGTGGCTGAGAGTGAAAATAGGCGCCTAGAGGCGCTGAGGTGGGCTAGGTGGCTGGTCCCAGGCTCTAAACATGTTGTTATGGGCTCAAATGACACAAGATGATGAAACAAAGTACATAGATCATGTGGGTAGTGCTACTAGTGCCTACCTACCAAAAATGAAGCAGATCCAACCATGGGAAGGGGATGGATGGCACGCAGGCCTTATGGCTGTAGCAGTGACGTGGGCGCCTCTGAAATAGACGCCCATTGGCGCTGTGCCGACCCACATTGTCAATATGTGCACAGAGGGATGAAAAATGCGAAGTGGGGGATAAATGGGGGGTCTACAGAAAGAGCACGCACCTGGGAACAATCTGGCAGTGTTCTAAGGGTGATAGAGAATGGGAAGGGAGGCATAGTGACGTCAAAGTACCATGGTGATGAGCAACTAGACAAACAACACTTACCTAGTACCTATAAACACTGAAAACTTACCAGAGAGTTGAAGAGAGTGCTGAATCCATCTCACACAGAACTCGGTCTGTGCTCCAACGACCCGGCCACCCAAAATGGCAATGTCGCAGGTATCCCAGGCTCAAGACCACCGCTCTAAATCGGTGCACCGAGTAGGCATGGTACAGGAGCACAGGGACTGTGGGGGGGGTGCATCCTCCCACTCATGAGCACTGACTTTGGCCAAAAGCCAGGCTACAGAGGTGAAGGGTGGATGAGAGTCCCCCAAGAGAGGAGGAGCAGTGGCAGGAGCAATGAGAGTGCGCTGGTGGCGCTTATGTAACAGTTTTCTCACACACCTTATTAGGCAACTGTATCTGGGAACATTGCGCACCCTCCCTATTGTTAATTTCTTGTCTGTTTCTTATGACTCAAGCTGTTCCAAGTACATCTCGTAAGTGGCTTTTGAATGGTGTATGTTACATAAGCATATTATCAGGCACAGCACTATAACCCAGTCAGCACTACCAAGTAGTAGTTGCTACAGTATAGCAGCTGCAATGCACAATATATAACATAACATATACCCTTGTGTAGCCCTTTAAAGAGGTGTTCTAATGCATCTACATATATAGTGATTGGTTCAGAAACAAGCCTATAATCAGCCATATACAGTACATATAGTGCTGCAGCAGTGTTACTCAAACCATTCCATCGCATCTGCTTCTAGAATCACGTGACATAAACTATTATATCCCTCTCATCAATGCGCATCGAACGCACTCAAGACCATCCAAAACGGACATCATCTGAGCCCATACCAATAGTTACAACATATGAGCCATATGTCATTGACCTTGCAGTGCTTCCAACACTGCATTGATATGAGCGCTTTGTTGACATCTAGACTGGCTGCTATGTGGACTAGGTTCACGAATATAATCAACATTATAGGGAATTGATCTGATTTACTAGTAGGCAGGCATAGGTGCAATGGGCAGAGGCAGGGCGATACAGCCACTGGGCGTCTAATAACTTGCAGAAGCCTCACTTTTCTGAAAGCAGCCCTTCAAAATTGAATCAATGTCTATAAATCTTGAGTATATTCATAGTAGTAGTCCACATAGAGTCTGACTGAAGCCCCCAAATAGCGCTCATCTCAGTCTGTTGAATAGGTGTGAACACTAACAGGCACTACAAAGTGTAGAAAGGAGTGAAGCGCTGGGCCCAGGTGGCAGTGCAAACCCAGCGCTAGTGGAACCCTACAGGGGGACCCTAACCCAGAGCTAGGGTGATGGGAGTAAGTAGCAAACCTATGCGTGAGAAGTGGCTGTGCTAGTCAAGAGTAATCAGAGTCTGGAATATATTCCCACGGCGTTGAGTTAAGGGTGTCACACGTCGCAGCCAGAGCCCACCCCATAAAGAACAATTCATTCGTACCTCATTAATCGTAATCTGGCGGCTGGGTGGGAAGTGCAGGGTAAGGTGGACGAGCGAGGTGGAGTGGAGCATAGCAACCTATGGGTCCTACGTCGGGGCGGGATATCAGCACACAACACTAGCGAGAAGGATGTAAGACGGACCGTGTACGCGTGCACATCGCACTCTGGGCCCTCTACGATCGTGATTTCGAGAGAGCGGAGGTGTGGCGTCACATGTGGAATCACGCTGAGCACGAGGGCGAGTGACTGGCGAGGCATGTGATGATAAATACATTGCCGCTGCTGCAACCGTGGGGGGCCGTGCATCACAGAGGGAGAGTTGTGTGCATGAGGAGAGCTATTACATACCTCTCTCCTTGAGCGCGATGACCTCCAGCCCGTTCGAGCCCCGCGGCACGGGTAAGGCTGTTTGCGGCTCGATCTACGGATGATCCAGATCCGAACCCACGGATCAGGTGACTTCCGGGGGCTTGATCCAGATCTGCATGGATCAGAGCCTCTGGAAGAGCCAGAGCCGCGTGATCTGGAGCCGCAATCCGCGGATCGAGCCGCCAAATGAGCCGCACTCTATGGCTCATTGTGGGTGTGTGTGTTCTGCGGATCTTTCTCACTCAAGTGTGTTCTTTCAGACTATTAGAAATCTTTCATGGTCATTGACAGCAAGCAAAGCAGTACTTTATTGACAGGATTACTACTCTACAGGTATATATATACAATTGGTAGCTAAGAGGGAGAGGTGAGCAACATGGGAGAGGTAGTTGACACGAGCACAAGACACGTGTGATGCAGGCGATACGGGAAAGGTGGGTGTGAGTGCACGCGCAGGTGATGTGGGCGCGAGCGAGGCAGGCGAGGACGTGGTGGGCGAGATGGGTGGGCGACGCGGGCGCGAGGCACATGGACGAGGGCGAGGGCGAGACGGGTAATGTGGGTGAGGCAGATAACGCAGCGACGTGGGTGCCACGGACGCAGGCGAGCGCAACATGCGCGTGAGGTGGGCAAAGTGGAGGCGAGAAAGCGGCGGGGCATGTACGAGGGGGGCAGGCTGGAGGTGAGACGGATGGCGGCGGCGAGGGCGAGGTGAGTGATGCCAATGCGAAGAGGGGCGGACGAGGGTGATACAGGTGACGGGCGATGTCGATGAAGTGGGTGACGCCGACGCAAACATGAGCAACGCAGGGGCAGATTGGCGACGCGGGGGCAACAGGGGTGATGTGTACGAGGTGGGCGTAACTTGGAGTGAGAGATGCGGGCGACTTGGGCGATGTTGTGACGTCGGTGAAGCATGGCAGGAGGGGGATATGGGCGATGCGGACGGTGAGGTGGGCGACACAGCGAGGGCGACACGGCGAGGGCGGCACAGAGGCAAGAGCAAGGCGAGTGACATGGGCGTGGGCCAGATGAGAGCAAGACAGGGGGCGCGGGCGCGGAGGACGAGGGCGAGGGCGCGGAGGACGAGGACGAGGGCGCGGAGGATGATGGGAGCGCGGCGCGGCCGTAGGGCAGGTGAGGACGGGGAATGTGGGGAAGGCGATGGGAAGGGTTTGATGGGGGCGAGGGCGAGGGCGGGAGCAAGGGCGAGGTGGGTGACCCGGACGAGGACGAGGCGGGCGAGACAGACGAGGATGACGCGGTCGAGTGGGAGGGGGGCGAGCGCGAGCGCATGGCGCGCAGGGGCATTGCCAGCGCGGGAGAGGGTGAGACAACGCAGGGAGCAGACGGGGCAGGGGAGGACTCACCAGGGGAGATTGGGGCCACAGGAGCTCACCGGGACCCCACAGGCCTGCGCGATGACGCCGCATGGACGGAGGATCAAGCGACGCGGGCGAGACGCGTGACGTGGGCGAGACGGGAGGTGCGCAGGACACGTGGCGCTGAAGCCAATGCGGAGGTGGTGGTGGGCGACACGAGGCAGATCCAAGGGATAAGGCGGAGGGCAGGGGCGTGGTGGAGGAGGCTGAGCGCGGTGCGGGCGGAGGACGACATAAGGCAGAGGAGGCGGAGGGAAAAGCGCGGGAAGAGGCAGAGGACAAGGGCCTGGCAGGGGCAAACCGGGGGATGGCGAGGTGGTGAGACACGGACAAAGGGAATGCGAGGGTGAGCATGAGACGGGCAAGGATGTGGGAATCTCACCAGAGGAGATCAGGGCCGCAGGAGCTCACCGCGACCCCACAGTGCAGCTCCTGGGCTTGAGGACGGCTGTGCGCGCGCACGCGATGACGCCACGCGGATGGAGGGTGGAAGGCAAGTGGAGGAGGGGTGAGGAAAGACTGGAGAGGAGGAGGGATGACCACGAGCAAGTGATGCGCGAGACCCACGTTCGAATCCGAACACTGCCCGATCGGGATGGATTCCCGTGTGAAGACGCCAAATGCGGGCGCCAAACGCTGTCGAAGTGCGAGTAGGTCATGTTTGGTGTATAACTCAGTCATTTCTTCATATAATCACACATAGAGTGCATCGTTAGAAGGAAGATTCGGGTAACTTTCGATTTTTATAGCTTTTGTAGTAGATATGCACATATATGAGCTATCACTCAAGATTCTGCGGATAATCCGTGGATCGAGCCTCAGACCCGCAATATTTTGGTCCCCTTGACCTGGAGCTGCTGGGAGCTGGAGCTGCAAAGAGCCGGAGCCGTTTGGCTCATGATCTCCGGCTCACGGCTCCAGATCATCGCGGGTTTACCTGCAAAGTGAGCCGGACCCTCAAACAGCCTTAGGCACAGGCACCGGGCTGCTGGGGCTGGGGCTGCAGGAGGACGGCGAACACTTTCCTCACCTGTGCGCAATCGCACCAAGTGATGCAAACACCCGATGTGCGGTGGCGTGAGCCCACAACACGTTCGCCGTGTCCGTCCCGATGAAGCGCGGCGTACCCACCAGCTGTGGGTGTAGCACGTACACGTGGAACCGCATCGCAGTGGCGTACGTGAACAGCTCCAGCAACTGCATTGGGGCTACGTGTGCACCAGGCGTTCGGGCGTTCAGGTAGGACGAGCTCGAGGGCAAGAACGACCTGGGGGAGCGTAGCGTGCGTGAGTCTGGCTGGAGGGCCTGGGGGCGCTTCGGGTCCGTGCGCGAGTGTGAACGAGAACCAGTCGGGCTTGGAGGTGATCCCACGTGGGTGGGAGAGTGGGAGAGTGAGAGAGTCATGTCTTGTAACGAGCGTGGCTAGAGAACAATGTGGAAGACGAGGAGGGGAGATGAGGGAAGGAAGGAGACACGCATTGCCATTTGGCGCCCGCGTCATCCACCTCTGGAAGACCGGTGGGCGCTGATGCAGACGTCTCGCATCTCCTCCCCTCCTCCTAGAATCTCTTGGTGCCGCTCTGGAACACATGTCTGCGTAAAGAATCCCTGCCGCTGATATCTTCGCACACCGACACCTCCGGCCTGTGCACTACCCCTCAGCCTCTGTCCCCCCACTCGCCAATACACCTGCACCGTTCCATCACCGACAGCCCGCGCCCACACAACATGCGCTGGAACGCGCTCTCGGTACCAGCCCAACCTCGCCGTCATCGCGCCGCCGCTCTCGTGCGTGACTAAGATTGTGGCTGCACTACCGCTCGCCAACCACGGAGGTGCTAGTCACCACCCATCGCCGACTGCGGAAGCGCTCTCGACCGTTGCCGACGGCGCATCTACCCATCGCTGACCGCAGAAGCGCTCTTGACCGTGATCACCGACCGCAGACCCGTTGGTGTCGGGGTGGTGGTTGCTTGGCGGTTCTTCCTTTTGAGAGGGGTGCAAGGGATGATTAAGATGGCATCTCCACGGCCCTGATGGTCGAGAGCCTGATGGAGACGCTTCCCAGTTTCTTTGCACAGCTCGCAGAGGCGGTCGTCAGAGTAGTAGGTGGCAAAAGCATGGTTGGGTGTTTCGAGGATACGCGACATGGCATCAGCCATAGCCACTGGTGAGAGCTGGATACGGTGTGGGTGAGGTCCGCCTCCGAAACACAGCTGCTTTAGGCACTGTAAAGACAGCACTCGGGTTGGGAGATGCTCAGTGTAAATATATGAAGCAAAATATCATACCTTCTCGAAGATTAAGCCCACAGTGGCGGGGTTGGAGATCCGGCTGCTTGTTATGTCAAAGTCCAAGTTCCGTCGGGAACGAGGCCTAGACGCCGGGTGGTTATGTCTGTGCAAAGTCTCTTGATGCCGACGTGAGTAAGCACGGTGCACTATCGAGTGGACCAGTGAGCGAGTGAGGTAGAAGGCAAGCAAGAGAGTCAATTAGCACTTGGCCTGAGAGGACGTAGCTATACAGGAGGTCGAAAGATAGGGAGCGCTATGCTGCGTCGTCCCTCTTATAAGTACAAAGGCCTTGAGGCTACGGTGCGCGAAGGGTGAGGTAACAGGGCGTATACAGCGAGTCCATACGAGTCAGTACGAGTCATGGTAACGGCGTGTGAGGGGGTGTCATGCCACGAGGTTGCCATGAGGCATGTGTATGTCCGAGGCGAGGCTGCGCAGCAGCATGAGGCAAAGGATAGGGGTGGTGTTACAGTAGCCCCTGAGGGCACGAGGCATAGTCCATGACGGAGATAACGAGGGGGAAGGAAAAGGGTGGGCGTACGCATGGTGTTCGTAACATCAGCTCCCCCTCTCGTGAGGGTTGTCCCAACCCTTAGTTTCCGAAGATGTTGTTGGCATCCAGGTCGGGGTCTTCACGAGGGCGGTACCCGATCTGGCGAAGTCGTTCGATCAGGTTGACGATCACCTCATGGACCGTCTCTTCGAGCGACATCTCGGGTTCACCATGCAGAGGGATCCCCACATGTCGGTACTGGCTGTAGTACGTGAGGAATCGCCGCCAACGTCCCGCGTCAATCATGCGGTCATCGACAACCTCTTCGCAGTGGGCGTTGCACCACTGTGCCACGACATTGAGGACGTGGAGTTCGAGGCTGAGACGAATGCCCAGGGCGACGTAGGGGAGGGCGGCAGCGATCCTCAACTCAATGTTCTCGGGTGAGTACCGCGCCGGCCAGTCGAGGGCATACACCCCAATGAAGTGGTTCGCTGAGAGATAACCGCGGAGAGCGTAGCGGCTAGTAGCTCCTTCGAGGCGAAATGGTTGGGCGACCAGGTTGTAGGCCCATAGGAGTTCCAGGCGGGGGGCATCGTTTTCGTCCTTGTGGTCGGTAGAGGAGGCTTCTTCCCTTTCCGAATCCGTGTCGTTGCCCATGTCGTCGTCGTTGTCGTACGGGGGTGGGGCCTGGCCCGGGCCGGCGAGTTCGTAGTGCACCTCGTCATCTGCGTAGTAGTGCACTGTTCGTGCGTCTGTGGATGGGGTAGGGGTGTTGGGGTGGGAGGACGTGGAGGTGGGGTATGGGATCCACGAGGTCCGAGGGCGGCGATCATGTCGGAGAGGGTTAGACCTGGCGTGGGGTGGTGGGCTCCTCGTTGTCGTCTTCTTCTTCCACCGGTGAACCCCACTCTACAGCTGAACTCTCCATGCCCATCCATCCTCCTGCAACGGCGCGTGTCCGGTACTCCTCCTCTTCCCATGTGGCCCGGTTGTGTTTGGTCTCGGCGGGAGTGGGTGACGCCTGTGCGTACCGTGTGTAGTCCGTGTGTTGTTTGCGTCTGGGGAGGAGGTCGGCGAGGGCGTGTCCTACCTGGTAGGTAGCTAGTTGGCGAACAGCGAGTTCGGCACCTCGGATGAGGAGGTGCATAGTGGCGCATACAGCTCTTTGCGCGTTTCCTTGACTTGCGCTGGTCCAGCCGCTCGGTGCACGAACGTGTTGGCCTCTTGGTGAGTTTGGTAGGCGTCAGCGAAGATCCGATAGGTCTCGATGCAGTGGGTGGCTCCCGGGATGTGTTCGGTACGCATGTGCACTTGGTCGTGGAGATCAGGGTGTGCGATAACCCATCCAATATGGAGACCGAAAGAGGCCAGGGTGTTGTTGCGGAGAAAGGTGACTGGGAGGTGTTGGTATGAGATGAGGGGTCTATCGGTGATAAACCGAGGGACGGTTCGTCCGGCAGTCGAGGTGGACGGGTGGGCGACAGGGGTAGCCCGTGAACCAGTGGAGCGTGAGCTCGGGGTGGTGTTGCGAGTGCGAGGCATGATAGTGAGAGTTCGAGAGAGTGAGTTTGAATCAGTGAGTGGGGGATAGGGTTTGGTTCAAAGTCGGTGCTTCTTCTTATAGGCGTGAAGGACATCTGGTGCGTTGGTCAGGTGGTGTTCTGGTTCCCAGCCCTTCCATGCAACAAGATAATAGAGCTTCGGCTTCGATCGGCTTCCCCGCAGTTGATGCTTGAGGATTGCTTCAACCTCATGTTCTTCTTGTCCTTCTACAAGGTCAGGTGTGGTCTGGGCAGGTCTGGGCCGTGTTCTTTTGTCGTACAATATGGTGTGAGCAGCGTGGCATGGAACACGGGGTGTATCTTCCAACTGCGTGGAAGCACGAGTTTGAATGTGACTGGCCCCATGACTTCGGAGATAGGAAACGGGCCAAGTCGCTTTGGCGCCAGCTTTCGATAGGGGTATGAAAGCCGGAGATTTGTTGCTTCTAACAGCACTTTGTCGCCCTTCTTGAATGTGATTGGGTGTGCTGGTGACCGTCGTGCCATTGCTGTGGCGGCCTGGTTGTGCGCGGCGATTGTGTTTTCCTGATTGGCCTTGAGCTGTTTTAGCCGTTCTTGCGTGCTAGGGTGTTTGAGGTTGCTGCGGACCGTTCCTGCTATGTTTGGCTGGTATCCGTAAAGGAGTTCGAAAGGTGATTTCCCAGTTACTGAATGAGTACGTTGATTATGTGCAAATTTGAATTCCTTGAGGCGGTCCGCCCAGTGATCTGGGTCATTCGCGGTGTAGATTTGTAGTGCCAGGTCAAGTTCTTGATTGACTCGTTCAGTCTGTCTGTCCGTTTGTGGATGATAAGCTGTGCTCATCGTTGTTTCAATTCCCATGGCCTTGTGTAATTCTTTGAATGCTTCTGCTGTGAACTGCGGACCTCAGTCTGATATGATTTTGTCAGGAAGTCCGAAGCGACTAAAGACTTGTTCCCATAGGAGTTTGGACGCTCCTACTGCAGTAATAGTTTTGTGCATGGCGCAAAGATTGCCATTTTGGTGACGTCATGGTCGACGATCACTTGTACCGCATCAAAGCCATTCGAGGGTGGGAGATCGGTTATGTAGTCGTGGTGATGACTCCAAATGGTCGTGTATTGCCGCTATGTGCGATGGGGATTAGGCCGGTTTCGTTGGTGTGTGTTGACCTTGAGTGTCTGACATTTGGAGCATCCTCGGACGTATTGTGTGATGAAGCTTCGCATTCCGTTCCATATATATTCTCTTCGGACTAGGTCAAACGTCTTCTGAATGCCTGGATGGCCCATTACTGCTGGTTCGTGGTATAGTTTGACTATGTCTCGGTAGAGTTCTTCGTCTGGAGGGACGTATACTCTGTCTTTGAAGAGTAAGAGTCCGTCTTCCTCTGTCCAATCTTCGGGGTTTCCCCATGTTGGTCGTCGAGTTTTTGAGTCTTTGGTGATAAGAAGTGTACTAGGTCTGCGTCTCGGCCTTGTTATTGCAGATTCGTCGCTGTAGTTCAACGTTGATTGTGTTGATGGTGAAAATTTGCTCTGGTAGCATGACAATATCCTTGTTATCATCCTCCCCCTGTTCATGGTCTGTTCTCCTGGACAGAGCGTCCGCTTGTGCTATCGTCTTGCCAGGGTGGTGCTTCAGCGTGAAATGGAACTCGTTGAGGTAGCTGTGCCATCATGCTTGTCGTGTGTTCAGTCTTTGAGCTGCCTGAAGTACGTCAAATTTTGATGGTCGGTGATGACGTCTATGGGGTGTGGTGACCCTTGAAGTAGGTGTCTCCATTCCTTGAAGGCTCGTACAATGGCCAGTAGTTCTCGATCATATATTTGATAGTTTTGTTCTGCTTCTGTGAACGACTTGGAAAGATAGGCGCAGGGGTGCCATAGTCCGTCTGGTCCTTGTTGTCGGAGTACCGCTCCGGTTGCAACTTTCGACACATCACACTCTACTTGAAACGGCCTGTGTGGATCTGGCATTTGTAGGATAGGTCTGTTGGTGAAGCGATTCTTGAGTTCTTGAATGCTGCTTCGCATTCCGTCTCCACACAAACGGTGTGTCTTTTCTTGTAAGCGCTGTGAGGGGTTTAGCCACCTTCAGTAGTCCTTGATGAATCGTCGATAGAAATTGCCGAAACCAGGAATGCTTGTACTTCCTTAAGTTTCTTGGGTGTTTTCCATTCCAGTACTGCTTTGACCTTGATTGGGTCCATAGGATTTGGTTGGTCTTATGATAGATCCCACGAATTCGACTTCGGTGACATCAAATTCGCATTTTTCTCCTTTGACGAATAAGTCCAACTCTTCAAGTTGTTTGAGGACTCTAGTGTTCGTTCATGATGTTCCTTGATATGGCAGGAGAAAATGAGAATGTCGTCTATGTAGATTACAATCCATCCTTCACGAATCATGTCTTCGAACGAATGGTTCATCATGCTTTGGAAGGTTGCCGGGTGTTGCATAGGCCAAAGAACATGACCGTGGTTCGAATAGGCCAAAGGAGTGATGAAGGCAGCCTTCCACTGATCTCCTTCTTTGATGCGTACATTATTGTACCCAGCCCGGATGTCCATTTTGTAAAGAATTTGCTCCTTTGAGTTTGTCCATGAGATCGCTGATGAGCGGTAATGGTATGCATTCCGTATAGTGCCTTCATTAGTGCCGATAGTCTTGGACAGGTCGTAGTGTACCATCTTTTTTGGTTACGAAGAAGAACGGTGATGCG